AAAAAAAAAAAAAAAAAAAAAAAAATGTTATTTTGAGATGTCTCGTCAGGCATTCCTTAGTGGTTAACAATTCTGGGAAGCATTTGAATTCAAGTTTTCTTTCACATTGCTTATCGCGGTAATATTCAGTGTGCTAAGCTAACAGTAAATATTGAAGAAAAAAAGGGAAACGGAAGAAGACGATGAATATTAAGTGCCGTGGCATACAGACTGTTATGAAGATGTCGACGGGTAAGAGAATTCAGTTTAGTCACAAAAGCCTTATTTTACAAAAAATATTGCAACAAGGAATACCAAGGCACGTGTTATCTATCACATACGAAGAAACTTTATTTTTTTCACACATAATATGTTTGTCTCGTACATATACCGGAGGTAACAGCAAACTTGTCCAAATCGTGTAACAGCATGGAATAATTGCCCATCCCACAAAATTTTTAATATCTAAAAAATCACTAAAGCTAAATGAGTCTCTTTTTTTCTTTCAAGTTTTCAGATAAGACGTTCGGCCATCTTGACGCAATTTGTGAGAATCCCTGAAAAAACCCTTTGAGTTATTCATCTGGAAAGAGAACAGGTAAATGGTTTTGTGTTAGCTCCTCTAGGTCTTCCCAACTGAGCAATGTTGAGATGAAAAACATCATTTATGCCTTCAGTAATGGCAGCAACATTCATATTCTGGCTTCCATCTTCAAAGCCGATTTAAGAAGCATCAAGAGAACCGCGAATAACTTCAAAAGAGAGGGAACAGCAGAAAGGAAAACTAGACCAGGAAGTCACAGCAACGAGAGGGATCATTATATCAACTTAGAGCGAAATACATTCTTAGTGTTCAAAATAGAATCGAATAGTGCTATAAAAACTTTGCCGAATTCCAGTAAGATATATTTAATCATTTCTAAGATACAACGGTTCAATGCTGAATAATAACAATTAGACAATATTGCTGTTACACGATTTGGACAATTTTGTTGTTACACTCGGTACATAATGTATACGATATGATGAATTTGTTGTGCATTGTTCTTCTTAATGTGACGTGTCCTTTCAGAACGTAGGCGACCCTGACAATCTATCACCTTATAGCTCTTCTTCATAAAACTCATCTTTCTGTTATTTCTGCTAAACCCCATTGTGTTATCCATTTACTCAAACTCACTAAGTATGTAATGCATTGTCTATCTTGCATTTAGTCTGTCTCGTGAGTATCATATTCGCCAAGCTCTCCTTCCTTATTACATCCCTCAAAATCCTAAACTGTCCCTTCCTGTTGTTAAGCATATGTTTCCATTTTGTTTGCATTTTCTCTAGAAGTTCGTTATTGCTCACATGTTTGGTCCATCGTTTCCTCAGCATCATTTTATCACATCAATTCACTTCTTCATCTTTACATCACATCTTTTTCATCTTCATCTTTGTCAAACTGTCACTGGCATACAGGTGATCGATATCACCTGAGTGTTTGGCTTTTGTATCCTTGTTTGTCACCTGGACTCATTTTCGTTAGATGCAGCATTTAGATAACAGAGAGTGCTTGTTACTTTTTTAAATGTTTAATAATTTCTTTACTAATTTCGTGTACTTGTAAGATCATTGCATAAGGTCTTCAGATGTTTATGATTTATAATTTTACGATAGTTCCCTCAGTGCAAGGACCAAGAACCATTCAGCCTTTGATCTTCTATGTCTTCTTCCGTAGCTACAGTTTCAGGAAAGTTTATTTCTCTCGGTGAATCGAAAAGAACAAGACAATTTCTTTTAATAAAGTTCACCGACTTCAAGATCTACCCAAGGCAGAGAGTTACTGAATGATGTGTGTGATATTAACGTACAAGGAGTAAGTAAAATGTGAAGATTAAAATGATATAGCGGGTAAATAAGGATATACGCTAGACATGAAGCAGAGAAAAATGATGTGGTCGAAGGAATATCCACATGAGAGTCTGTTCCACAAAGTTGTGATTTTTATGTCAAGAAGATTTTTCAGTAGAAGGATCTTAACAAAGGAATATATACGTAATGATAGTGATTCAACCTTGTGGACTTATCAAAGCGGATCTCGGTTGTAGGTGTCACAGTTGATGACACTATAAAACAGAGTACTTCTTAACATTTTCCATGAACGGAGTGATAGAATAGCGATAGGCTTGTGATGTGCGATACGGCTGATAGTAGACATCTGTCTATCAGGCGAGATAAAGGTAGATGCCTGTTTGGTACGACGCCAGTCCTTTACTGGCGAGACAGTAATATGTACCATTAAAGCTACGACTGAAAATTGAGTTCGATCCTTACTAGGTGCTCCATACTTTCGGCCTTGTGCCACATCTATGCTACGCTTAGAAAATAACTATATACCGTACCTATGAACACTAAGATATATGTCCCAATCCTTATATTTAAGTTGAACACAATTATAAGTGCGAGTTATATGCTGTTTATGTTGTCCACCACTAAGAGTTGTTTACCTACTTTCAGGCCGCTGGCGAGTATTGTATTTTGTTGATGTTATAAAGATGAGCATTTCATTTTCAACCTCCGTTTTGGGTTTTTTCTTATGGAGGCTACAGCAAAGATATTAAATAATATAAAAACAACTCTCAAACTACCAGAAAAAGGGATTAAGCAATGTAATTTAGCATCCGTTCAGTCTACCAGATGTTTTGATAGTAAGAGTAACTGAGAAGGATGTATAAATGAAGGATGATATATATATATATATATATATATATATATATATATATATATATATATATATATATATATATATATATATATATATATATATTTTTTTTTTTCATCTAACATTTATGGAGATCCACCAAAAATAAATTCAACAGTAAAAGTGGTCTATGGGTAAAAAAGTGTTAGAACCACTACTCTAGAAGGACTACCTTCTTGAGCTGTCGAGCTCCATCTCCCCGTCGTTGCTGGTTATGAGTCGCCAGATGTCCGCCTTCGCCTATTCTCCTGCTTGTTGTTGGACTTAGTAGTCAGAGGATCTTTAAATTTATGCCAATGTAAAGTTTTATAGACCTTGGGAGCTCGTTCCAGCTGTCACCCACCACGTCTATGTAAACGGACTCTGGGGATATTGATTCTATGGTGGCTAATAAGTAATCTCCCCAAAAGCCGGTTAAACTATTTTGAACTCTGTCAAGGCAGGAAAATAATGTATATTTATACAGAGGTATAGTGACGTAAAACGGTTTAATATCATATGTGAGTGTTATATACCTCACCTATGAATAGTAATGGGTATGTCCCAATCCTCATAATTACGTTGGACACTATTGTAAGTGGGGGTAATATGCTGTCCTTGTAGTCCACAACTAGCGGTGGTTTACCTACTTAACGCCGCTGGCGAGTATTGTATTTTGTTGATGTTATAAACATTACTGTTTCATTTCTTACCTCCGTTTTGGTTATTCATCATTTAGTAAACTTTTCTAGGTTACAACACTATATATTTTATATTACTAAGATCCACTTGGATTATATACAAACGGATTTGTTACCTTTTTACCACATAAACACACACATCCCCCCCCCGATATACATACATATATATATATATATATATATATATATATATATATATTTTTATATTTTTAATTAATTCATCGAGTCTGATAGAAACCTCTACAGAATGCAGAAAGCACTGGACGGACGTTTCGTCCTGTATTTGGGACTCATCAGCAGTACGCATCCACTACCGAGAATTGAAACCCTGACAGTTAGGTTGTTAAGCTGACATCATACCAACTGTTCCAAGTGGACCTCGGTGACGAAGAGATTCCAAATCAGACTCAACAAAGCGCCGCTCGCTCACATATTCCGTGGCGGAACTCAAGATTCGCTATTACCATAGGACTGTGCCCCCTGGAGCCACGACTACTATCACCAAGCCGCTACCTACTGTAGCATTATATATATAAACCGTACCTATGAATAATAAATTCTAATAAAATTCATGTCTCACTTTTTGTTATATGCCGTACCAATGGGCACCTCGACGTGTTGTAATGGTTAGCAAGCTTATCTCGCTAGATCAGCTACGACTGAAAAGTGAGTTCGATCCTCACTAGGTGCTACATACTTTCGGCCTTGTGTCACAACTAAGCTACGCTTAGAAAATAACTATATACCGTACCTATGAACACTGATATGTATGTCCCAATCCTCATATTTTCGTTGGACACAATTGTAAGTGCGAGTTATATGCTGTCTATGTAGTCCACCACTAGCAGTGGTTTACCTATTTCACGCTGCTGACGAGTATTGTATTTTGTTGATGTTATAAAGATGACGATTTCATTTCCAACCTCCGTTTTGTTTATTCCTCATTAAGTAGGTTACAGCAATGATTATATTTTACTATTTGTTCAGAGAATATTGGCCATACGTACGAGATTCAGATCTAGAACTTGTCGAAAAATCAGCATCTAAATAGACTGAACAGGCAGCCTTTGATTACGTTGAGCAAATGGCTGCTGTCAACATAAGACAACAACGTTTAAGATGAGATCTTTGCGTGCTGCCGTTTTATCTACCCTGAATGCGACACTACTTAACCAGGAGAACAGTCGTATGTTGTCAACCGAAAGGAAATAACAAGAAAAGGAAGAAACAGAAATTGAGAGCATGGGTTTATTTTTTTTTCCTTTTTCCTTATGCTGAATGGTGGTAACGAATGGGATTCTTAATAGATGAATGCACGCTTGTTTACTTGTTTCAGTCGAGAGGAATTACTGACCAATAGACGGTTGCGAGACCTAGTTTTACTTTGCGCTCGTAATATAGCTTTATCTAATTTACTCCTTCCTCTTCGCTTTTGTAACTCTCCCTCTCTCAATATGTCGTTCTTCCTAATTCGCGCTTCCATCCGAAAAGGAGAAGACAAGGAAAAATAAAATAAGGGGACATAATGGAGAAAGAAAGCAGCGTAATAACACCAAGCTACATTATATCCTGTAGGTGAATCTCGTGGTGAAAACAAAATGATTGGTTGTTTCTCTTCCCCTTGCCGACAGTTACCCATCATTTACGCTGTCAGACACAAAATATCCGGCCGACTTTCGCTTGAAGAGTAAGACCGCACTGAATCCACTTTACCTTGTTCCGGCCAAACTTTGCGTGATATGGAATATATATCACAGATCTCGGGGCGAAGGAACCGTATACTTTGCGCTACAATTTCCTGGAATTATCATGACGTTTTATTATAAAATAAAAAAAAGACAGTACCCGCTTTGACATATAATTTATCATACAACATCGTATGTTCAGTAAATATCGTCTGCGATATAATCAGTTGTCTTTTTTTTTTTTTGGTGGGGAGATAATCGTATAAAACTACTGACACATTTCTTGTGATTTTATTCTCTCTGCTTCTCTATCAAATGGTCTATCTGTTCGAGGCCTTGGAAGAAACGAAAATGGAAAAATAATACGCCGACAGTTTGAATCACATATCGTAACCACCATATTTTCGGTGTGAATAACTTAATGTCCGACAGCATGATAGCTGATATCATTTAAAGAACTGCAGACATAACTATTTTCTGCGAAAGCGGTATTGAATAATTTTACTGTTATGTATATATTTCAATCTTTAGAATCTATAAAAGCAATAAAGGTATAATTTAGAGATCTCATAGTTTTCATCATAAATTATTAGACGTTAAGCAGTGTCTCCTAAAAATAAATAAGAATATATAATCACCGATTATACCTTTTATTTTAAACATTCCACCCATTCAAGGCAATAAAGCCACTATCACGCAAGGGGTTACTGGGAGTGAAAGAAAGTGAGAGGAAGGACTTAAAAGACTAGGAGACCGACTGACGTTGCATTTATAAATTTGTAGATCTCTATCTATAAAAGGCAGGATGTGTGCGTGCGTGCGTGTGTGTGTAACGAATGCAAGGCTGCAATTTTCGACCGATTTGTACCAAAATTTACATGCACATGCTCCAAGTTAGCGGGAAGGCCAAGACCGACTTTACATTTCCCAGCTTCCATCGTGGAAATAATCGATTTTTTCACGTAGTTTGCGGCCATTTTCTACTGACCAGAGTGAGAGCCAACAGCTGACTGACACGAATGTTAACAAGCATGCAAAAAAATTCGATTGCTGCATTCGTCACAAGTGGGAAAAAATTAAATCTGCATGGCACTTTACTCCAATTGGCTCATTCGCTTGCTTAAACTCAATGTTGATTCTGATTCCGCAGAACTGGGTTGGATGTGAAAATTATTTGTTGTTAACATTCTTTCTTCATTCGGTTTTTCCAGTTACGAGTCCTATTTTTTTAAGCTGATCGTTTTGTGTTCATTTTGTTTAGTTCTTTTTTCGTAACAGATTTAATGTTTAGTATAGAGCTTAGAAAAAAATCGCAGTGTGAGATAGGCAAGAAGTAAGGCATGTAGCAACATCATCACGGCACTCCTTTAAAGGCAAGGAAGGGCAAAAATATTTTAAGTCAAGTGATAGCGATTGCTGTATGAGTCGTACGATTTTTGAATCAAGCACGGCCAACGCCGGGCCATGCTGCTAGTTGTAGATGATAGGAAAGGCAAGAAGACCGAAGTTACACAAGCAAAATGTTCGGGAGAAGAAACTTAGCAGTTAAAAAAAAAAAAAAAGACATGCATGTGGTTAAAGCTAACAACTTCAACAGTAAAATTATGAGACCTAGCTGCCAATCTAGTACTGCGTTTAAATTCGTGATGCCGAGGTAGCAAAGTTAGAAAAGTTACCATGAAAGGAAGGAGGCGTTTCAGCGGTGGGGAATAAATCGAAGCCGAGATTACAAGCCAGGACTGGTAACATTGCATAATAGTTGGATATGTAGCAGAAGCATCAGTGGTTAAAGGTTGATAAGCCGTAAAAAAACGAATCAATCAATCTCTCATAACAACGGGTGGAAAGTCAGGATATGATGTAAAATGGAATTGATTCTTTTGACATTATTTGCATGAAAAAAGACCAAAAACTTCAACTTGAATACTGGCTTGAAAATGACTATTAAATGTAGCCCTGGTTTTAATAATAAATTTTAAACGTATAAGTACTTCAAATTCTCATAAAAATAAATTGTTCGAAATAGTAAACAAAAGTATTGCATTTTCATTTTGAAAAGGGTAACAGAATATTTCTGGATACATTTTTAAATCTAATACCTATTTCGTGGTACACATATCAAACAACAAAATTCCTTGAATTCTAAAACTCTAATGCCTGTACTGTGGGGGGCAGATTTTAAAGACAAAGTCCTAATATCGTAAAGTAGAACAACATTTCTGTTACGTCAGCTCTCTTCATTTTTGATGAGGTTGTCCAACATTTACTGATATTACGTGAGAGTTCCGTAATCTTTGCTTTGATTCTAACGAAATGTTTCTGAAGATTAACACTTTGCTTTTGGAAGACAGTTTTTGATTATCCCAATGCGCCTTCGGATTTCACTGTCGTATATTCCATCCTCTGTTAAAACATTTTTCAGATATTTAAATTGTTTTACTTGTTTGATTTTGGTATCTCCAATTTGTAATTTGCCTGTTAGCCAAAAGAATACTCTTTTGGCTAACACACATGCATTCTATCCTTTCTTTTTTCGATTGATGTTTGTCCTATTCTTTTCGATTTTGGTCACTATGTTCTCTAGGAGTTCTTATAATTTCCTTTCTGCGTCTGCTACCAACATTGCCATCTTTATATCTTATTGTGGCCACCAATAATAAATCCTGGTAGGACTTCTAATTCTCTCAGAATTGCCTTCATGCATAGGTTGGATAAGTCTGATGAGAGCACTTATCCTTGTCTTAAATCTCTTATATACGATGTCATACTCAAAGTTTGGTTAAATTGCAAATCGAATGTAGGAAGAAATATTGGCACTAAACTTTGTGATCAGTAATATTTTATTTTTTAGCCTAAATCTCGTTAAGATTGTCATTTATTGCTCATAAGATTTTAAATGTATCTTAGTACCGTTTGTTGCTAAATGGAACATAAATCCATAGAATACCACCACAAGAAAGCAATCGTAAGGATCAAGCTTGAAAGATTAACATGATAGTCATATATAGACATTTAAATATATTGGTTAGTACGGAACTGAACCGTAGTGAAGAGTACTGACTATAGACGGTAACTACTGCGAGTTTCAAACGGGTCCTGGCTAAATCCGTACATGGGACTGAACTAATGTTTGTATATCCAAGATGGTTATGAGAAGGCATAGAGCTGACTAGACTGTAATCAGTAAAAAGACTGCTGCCCGAGGCCGCGCCATCTCATTGCACTAGAGAGAGGGGTCGGTGTACGCATCGAGGCCAGCGCCACCAACAGTTGCGGAGGCTCGGGAATTTTTGTTCCTAGCCCGGGTGTACGCGCTCGGGCTGCTTATTTCAAACTTACCTTGTGTCACAACCTGACCTCGTGTTGGGGGTGAGCAAATAAAAAATAGGTATGTGTTCATTAGCAAGGTGGTGCTTCATATCAGAGGACATTGGCTATGGTCTCACCTCGAGTTGCATGGGACCTGCTAGATTAGGTGGAGGTTGAGCAGCCACCCTACGATTACACATTCTCATGCGACTAATGATCATCATGACGATGCTTAGTTTTATACAAGGCAACAAGTGCAAGACGTCCTTGGGGATTGAAGACAATGTAGTAAACTATAAGAATAGACCACTATGTCCTATTGATTAAGCTTACTTCAGGTTGAAGCACAGCCACAAATATCAGGTTAGGTGCGGTTAATCTTTTCCTATGTGCTATATCCTTTCAGGGTGTGAGCGATCATAGCTCTTCAAAAACACATGTCTTTATAGCTCTTAGGAAAGTTTTGCTATATTTCTATCGATTTGAAACCCTTCTAAGGTAACCATGTGGGCAAGAACGTTAGGCAGGTTATTCGCTGCTTTCCACTCTCCCTCTTGCCTTCAATATGTTCTGTGAGTATCGTATTTTCTCAGTCCTCTTTCCCCATTATGCTGATTTTCTACGCGTAACTTAGATGTGGCACGAAGCCGAAAGTGTGTGGAGTACCGACAAAGCATCAAAAATTCACTACCAAGTCGTAACTGATTTAGCGAGACAAGCTTTCTGCTCATTACACCACGTCGAAGTACCTTAAATGATCTTCTAAGCGTGGCTTAGATGTGGTACAAGCCCTAAAATAAGGGGTACTCAGTGAGGATCGAACCCACTACTCAATCGTAATTATTCTAACGAGACAAGCTTGCTAACCATTACAACGCCTCGAAGTACCCCTAAGCAAGATGTGCGTATCATGAGAATATATGGTGATGTAATGGCTAGCAAGTTATCTCGCTAGAATAATTACGACTGCATAGTGAGTTCGATCCTCACTGGGTGCCCCCTACTTTCGGCCTTGTGCCACATTTAAAGCTACGCTTGGGAAACCACTATGCACATCTTGCTTCATACCCTTAAAGCGCCCTCTACATTAAATGGCCCTTAGGTTTTGTATGAGTTGAAAGATAGTAAAAAAAAGAAACAAGTATTTATTTATTATTGTTTTACTTGTTTGATTTTGGTATCTCCAATTTGTAATTTACATGTTGGTTGCATTCTTTTGGCTTACACACATGTAATTTATTTTATTTATTATTATTTATTGAATCAGTAGGGATATAAAATAACTGGTAAATTTTAGTCGCAATGACAATTGTACAATAGGATAGGTTGATTTCTCAATTTCTTCAGAAAATCAACATTGCACTCGGTGCAAAAACTGAGGTCTGATGTGATAAGTAAATTAGATTCATAGCTTTTTCCTAATTTTTGAGCATTTAGTTTTAATTATCATCTGAAAAAAATGTATAGAAATACCTAATTTCCGTAGACCTTAAGACCGATTTCAAACTTTTACTCTCCCAAGAGTAAATCCAAATAAAGTTGATATTTTTCTATTACATACATTGAATGAAAAATATATTCAAACTAGGATTCTAATTATGAATCACCATAAACAAAATATGAATTTTTTTTAATTGTATTCGTAAGTGAAAATTGTATAAAAAATTGTAAAAGATTACAAAAATACTAATCAATGAATAGGACCTTACACTATTTATTAGACTAAAATTAATAAAACAAAAATAGATAAAAGTGTACATGACACCATATTATCTCTTAACACAAATTATAAGACAAAATGTTTTAAATTTGCATTTTTTATTGAAAATTACACTAAAGCTACTGCACTCTATAACATAGTACATCGTAATATAGCTAACTTTTTTCAGCATAATTTTCCTTTGAAGTAAATGAAGGTCTTAATTGATGGCCCATTGATTTAGTAATAATGTGCTTGTGCAATGCTCCTTGTGCATATAAATTTTGTGAAGCTTAAGTAATTATTTCAAGTGCTCTTTCCACAACTTGCCAATGTGGAGGTAAATACGGCAACTCCAACGTTAGAAACTCTTACAGTTCATTATTTCAAAAAAACCTTCTGCAAGGGCAGGTTTACAAACTTCATTTTGTGATAGGTTAATCTATTCTTACCAGCATTTCGCTTCAGAGTTGATGAATATTATTTTAAAATTCTTCTTTAGTGTGTCGCTACTTCTGAAACGAACAAAAAATTTATTGGAAAATTTATCCATATTGATCCTATTTTTGTGATGTAATTTAAACTACGTTTTAAAATTAATCTTGTAAATTGACATAACTAATTAAGGATGAATAAATGTTTGTTTATCTAACAGACAATTTTTTATAGAATTTATCCTCACCTCCAATTCATCTGACATTAACATTGAATAAATAATATTTTCTGGAAGCAAGACGAAAGCAATGTGTTGTAAATATTTTAATGCAATATACTGTAGTTGACTTTTGCATTATTCTTTTGATGATGTTGAAGATATACAGTTGTCATGGAATTTATTATCTCTTTCAATTTATAACCAACGGACTACTTATATTTTAATTATAATTCTATAATTTATTGATCAGCGGAATGTAATCCCAACGCTCCAATTTTTGACCTAAACTTAATTTTTAAACTCATTTCCCCAAAAAGAAAAACGGTTTGAAAAATATGTTATTATTTATCATGTTAAACCCCAAATTGTGTGCATTACCATCTTTCCAAAAGTCGACCTGACCTGTTGTACAAATCCACCTTATAAAAATAAAAAGAATTTACCCAGCATAGGAAAAACATACTAAGATATTCTTTAATAGAAAACAAGAAATCTTATTCCTTTATGTGCTGTTTTCTCCTTAGAAAGTTGGCGTTCATGCATCTCCAGGAATCTATGTCCTTTATAGGTTTTAATAAATATCGACTTGTTACCTTACCTAAACCTTGTTCGGTCATCCATTTACTCAATCTAGGTAGATTATGCGTTGTATATCCATTTGTTCTGTGAGTATCAAATTTTCTAAGCCTTATTTCCTCATTATATTCTTTAGAAATTTCAACTTCCTCTTCCTGATGAAGGCAATCGTAAGGATCAAGCTTGAAAGATTAACATGATAGTCATATATAGACATTTAAATATATTGGTTAGTACGGAACTGAACCGTATTGAAGAGTACTGACTATAGACGGTAACTACTGCGAGTTTCAAACGGGTCCTGGCTAAATCCGTACATGGGACTGAACTAATGTTTGTATATCCAAGATGGTTATGAGAAGGCATAAAGCTGACTAGACTGTAATCAGTAAAAAGACTGCTGCCCGAGGCCGCGCCATCTCATTGCACTAGAGAGAGGGGTATAAGTATAAGCGTTCTTTTTAGGAGAATTAAAAACATCAAGATAATAAATTCCCAGGAGAACGAAAACAAAAGTTGACCAGGATGTAAGAATAACTGAAGCTCACGGCCATATCACGTTGAAACATCGCTTCTCAAACGATCACTGATGCTAAGCAACGTCTAGCCTAGTTAGTACCTAGATGGGTGACCGCTTAGGAATACCGGATACTGCAAGCTTGGATGTGCGGGTGGTGTAATGGATAACGGCTCGGATCCATGTTCCAATTCTGTTCTGGTTCGTTATATTCCCATAAGGCCAAATCCACCCCTATGAGTAAATAAGTAGATTTTGTATTAGTAAAACGTTCCCGTCTCCAAAAGGGATTTCTTATAATGTTTAAAATGTTTTCTGGTATTAAATAACCTGCAAAAGGTTGATAAGACGTAAAAAAAACAAAAAATCAATTGAACAAATTAAATCCAAATAACTGAAGATGGCAAATCATTGTCACGTGCGTATAGCGATTAGAGAAATCGGTGAGTTTAAATTCCGGTCAAATTTATTGCATTCCCTTTCGCATAAATACTCTTGGAACGAATATGAATCCATTGCTTGACCTTCCCACCTCCACAGATATCCATTAAAGTATGGAAGACTAGAGTCTCTTGTCTTGTTTGTCAACTCTTCTACACAACTCGGAATTCAAGCCTTTTTGTTTAGAGGCTGTAAATTCCTTAAATCTCTTAAAAGTCCTACTCGCTATAGAAAATGAAGCAGCAACACCTATACATCTGGACGTCTGGCTGTCTAGTGGCAGTAAGAAGAAGTAACAACGACAGCCTTTCCCACAAAATATCTATCCTTAAAACGTAATAAATAATGCCTCCTCCACTCGTCGATCCTAACAAAAAAATCCACAATGATTTCTCAGTTAAGCGCTATTATAGAGCATAGCTAAATTAAACAAGCAATAAATGTGTGACGCCAAATGACAAAATGTCAGTACTTATTGTTGTAGATGCTGGCAACGGCATTTTTTTTTAAGTCACCGTGAAGTGCGAAATCCTCGTCGCCAAGTTGTTGTGGCCTGTTTAGGGGCCAGAAAGTAAGGCACAGAAGTCGAATGTAGGTTGAAAAAGTATATTGAAGGTATATGCAAAACAATAGTGTTAGTAATAAGTAGATTAGCACTGCGTCTACCGCTCTGGTATCCGACTCTCGTAGTTTGTATTTATGAAAGGAGGAAGAGTTCATTATACTGTAAGAGGGTTTACCACAACACTTATAAAACCTTCTTTACATGAATACTCTTATAATTCAAATACAGTGATTTTAACGAGAAAAAGAAATCAAATATTGATAAAAAAGAAAAAGAAGAAAGTAGAAAAAAAGGAAGATGGAAGAGGTGAAAAGACCATCATGCGCTTAACGTCTGCTTCAAAGAAATCGCATTTTTACTCTTTTCATTTGTAACTTTTACTTCTTTAAATAATAACCCGCATTCATAATTATGATTTGATTTACAAAATTTCGTTAAAGTTAGTAAGCTCAAATATTTACTGATACAATAGTCGAATTACCCTGGGTATTACAGCGTCGTGAAATTCGCAAGGAACCTATTCAATGTTTCAATTAATAATAATGATTCATCAGAAAATTAAATTTGAAAAACCGTGTTAGTTAATGATAACATCTCACAGCAAGCACAACGTTAGAAAAAAATGATGAAGTGTATATATTAGGTTGGTGCAAAAATAATGACGTAATAATGTCGTTTTTGACGTATTTTTTAACGTCAAAAAACGACATTATTATTTCATTATTTTTGCACCAACCTAATAGTATCAGGATGATATATTGTTTTTTTTTACAGCTTATCAATCTTTTGCAGGTTATTTAAAGCCAACAATATTGTTTGCCTGTAATAATGTTTTGGAGTAAATAATAATAATAATTTACTTATACAAATCCTACTAATTAACCCAAACCTGGGGAAGAATAAGTCGATTCTTACATTTTCTAAAGGTGCTTGCGCGTAAGAGGATTTAACGCACCCGACTTTCCTGAGCCGTTATCAGATAACGGTACCACAGGGAAATGTATGTTTACATTTCCAAACGGTCACCCATCTAAGCCCTCACAAAGCTAGACGTTGCTTTGGTGATTGTATGAGAACCGTTGTTTCAAAGCGACATGGCCGTAAGTCTATTGTATATGGACTACGTGACTCCTTTACGTCACATAAAATCTCCCAATTGATACAGGTGTCTTTCTCGCTGTAATTAATTCTCAGCGGCGACACACCGGCGGTGCAGTATCAACAAAGGCACGACGCTTTTTCTTCAGAGTAAATAATGCAATAAACTGAGACGACGAAGAATGCTATTGTGTCGTTAACTTGGCACTTTTCACTTTGAGAAGATGAAGCGCTTAAATCTTTTACTTTTCCTACGTAGCTTTAGTTATTTTTTGTTCTCGGTGAAAAGAAACAGACTAAAATCTCACCACATAGGAAAACAATCGTCGATTATTGACCCAGTTAAAGTACTATTGTGAAGTGGGTTCGATTCTTATAGGTGAGTCTTCTTCTAAATATCGCGTCCATTCAGTACATAGGACATCATGGCTTTTCTTAACTTACTATTCCTTGAGCCTCATAACAGTTTTTTTTATCCCTTTCTTATAGCTTCAGCTGTCTCCAGTTTCCGTCAACCGTGTTTTTTAATCTGTCACATCATATCATATCTATTTCAATTATTTCTTTCTTTCTTTCTTTCTTTCTCCGTCTGTTCATATCAACCTATCTCAGTTTGTTCATTATCTATCTATCTATCTATCTATCTATCTATCTATCTATCTGTCTGTCTATCTATCTATCTATCTATCTATATCTATCTATCTCGATCTATATCTATTTCGATCTGTACATATCTATCTATCTATCTATCTATCTATCTATCTATCTCGATCTATATCTATCTATTTCGATCTGTACATATCTATCTATCTATCTCTATCTATTTCGATCTGCACCTATCTATCTATCTATCTATCTATCTATCTATCTATCTCGATCTATATCTATCTATTTCGATCTATCTATCTATTTCGATCTGTACATATCTATCTATCTATCTATCTATTTCGATCTGTACATATCTATCTATCTATCTCGACCTTATCTATCTATCTATCTATCTATCTATCTATCTATCTATCTATCTATCTATCTTTTCGATCTGTCCTATATCTATCTTGTTCATTTATTATTCTATCTATCTCGATCTGTTCAATTATCTATATATCTATTTATCTATCTCGATCTGTAATCTATCTATCTATCTTCTTATTATTTTTTTCTATCTATCTTCTCTGTATATATATATATCTATATCGATCTGTATCTATCTGTCTCGATCTGTACATTATCTATCTATCTATCTCGATCTGTACATATATATGCATATCGATCTGTAAATATATTTCAATATCGATCTGTATCTATCTGTCTCGATGTGCAAATATCTATCTATCTATCTATCTATCTATCTATCTATCTATCTATCTATCTATCTATCTATCTTTATATTATTCAAAAAAATCTGATTACGATTGGGTTAATTGTATAAAAATTACCTTATTATTATTATAGTTCCACAGAAATCCGTCCGCAGCTCATGAGCATTCGTAGCCAGTCTACGGCGTCAGTACACAATTAAAACATTTATGCCGTCTATTCTTGTTCACTTTATTACGCTAGGTTCGTTTGTGTTGGAACGGTCCTACGATCATTAAGATGACTAGCAAATTCGTCCATCTTGCCTGAACAACATTCATCGTAAAGCTTGGCAAATATAAAAAGAAGACCCAACTCATAAAGTCAAAGATCCTTCTTTTTATCCTCTTTAATTCGGACCCAATCTTTTGAGTGAAAAGTTTATTTCCATGTGACTCGAGTGTCGGCTTATGATGTTGAGCGTTCAGTGTGATCAAAATACGATAAAAAAAGAAGAAAACAACCTCCAAACCGCCCATGATGACCGTCGCGGAACAATGTATAAACACTTTAACTTGACTGGAATTAGTTAAGGACTGGCCGAACAGATCACGTTCTTTTAATTTTTCTTGGAAATGTTCATCTAAAAGAAGGCTGAAGAGTCACTCAGTGTAGAGGATTTCTGAATGAGTTTAATGTATGTTCATAGGCATATTTATAAATATAATAAAAAAAAATTATGATCATATGTAGGATAGATAACGAAAACCACATTTATAGAGGTTAAGATTGTGGTGATATGGGAAGCAACCTCTGACGGGGTCTATGCAACAAAGTAATGGTTATCGGAAAATAAGGTTTCTGAGTGGAACTTCTGTCTTAAATAGTGAATACGATGGGAATTAAAACGATCTGAACCCATGTACGTGTCATGGTCGATCCTAGCTCTGAACGTTCAAGTATTTTCCACCATGGTAGTTATTTTCATGAACTAATGTAGTGTCTGACTAACAGTCTGCAATGGCACAGGTAGAGTCTGGGACGCTATTGTATTTGCACAGCACCACAAAAAATACATATTGTATAGTGATTCAAACTTAAAGTTATGAAGTTAGTTTGGGTTCCATTATAATGTTATTTTCGCATACTTAAATATACTATGCCTTAATTAGACACAAAACATGCGTAAATCTTATCAGTAACAGTTCAAACGCAAAACGACATACAAGAAAAAAATGTAAAAATTTATGACGATCTTTATTTCTGAAATGAAAATTACAAAATTTAAGTTATTTTCTTGCCTTTTTTGTTGACAGATTCTTCAACGATAACTTCAAATCTATTTCATCTGTCAATTGTTTTTATCATAGACATTATCTAGGCCAATATATATATATATACATTTGCCTCGTTATAAAAATTGACGATCCGTTTAAATACCTGAAACCTAAATTAGGTTTGTCTGGCTCACTAGGTGTATTTAGGTTTGCTCTGCTTTTTTATTGAGCTCTTTTTTTAGTTAAATGTTTATCGTATTTGGTTTTTTTCTTTGGGCTTCAAACCTTTATCTGTACGATTTATTTTTTGTCGACAGAAACCTCATATTTGTAGCTTTTTCTTTTTTAAAATAACGCCCTCGAGATTGATTTGATTAGCCCAATCAAAAAATTCGAGGGTTTTTTGAAACGAGTTTAGTTATATATATATATATATATATATATATATATATATATATATATATATATATATAGCTTATTTCATTTGTTCATATTTAATCTTTATTTAAAAAAAAAACTATTATGTAAATTTTTGTAACTTTGTATAATATTTATGCATTAACCTAATCTTTATTCGGTAAAATTTCAAACCTTATCATGCTTTAAACCAAATAATACACATATTTATGTTTTTGTTGTTTCCGTTCCTTATAACATTAGCCGCTACTTATATATATATATATATATATATATATATATATATATATATATATATATATATATATATATATATATTTTTTAATTTATTTTGTATCGAATTCTCAAAGTTTCCTGTAAATAACTGGTCGTACTGCACATATTAAAAATATATCAGTTCTAACCTTCATGACTAAGACTCGCCACGCTATGCACATTGCAGCAAAATCCCACCTATTCCCCTTCTTCCATTTGTTCAGCAGCTTATTTCCGCAAACAGCTGCTCTGTGGAACCAACTCCCAAGGAATCAGAACCATCTTGGCCTAAAACATATTCCCACATATCTTTAAAAGAAGTGCCTATTAATCTGTTTTTCCTATCTGGAAAACCTTCCGGCATTAAATTGTACAGAGTGAAATTGACTGGCCATGTATATATGAACTTCGTACATTTTATGCACAACTTCGAACACAATACTGAACACCATATCCGAAAATTAAAAAAATTTTCCAAAACGTCGGTTTTTAAGAATTTAATTCGTTCCTGAAAATTAATTCGTAAAAAAAATGTTCGTAAACCAAATGGTTTTTGCAATAGAAATTAATGTTGAAGAGAAAAAGTCACAGTACAAGCAAAATGGAAAAGAAAAGCAATCCTAACACAAATCGAATGTATGCAACATGGCAGTCGACTCTGAAATTAATCCGTTCAAGATAACCCAGTTCGGTAATGTTCGAGAATCGAAATTTTGTTCAATAACCGAAATATTTTCATCTCAAAAAATTTCTCGTCCACTGTAATATATATATATATATATATATATATATATATATATATATATATATATATATATATATAAATGTGTGTGTGTGTGTGTGTATATATATATATATATATATATATATATATATAATTTTTCTGTCGTTAATGAATGTATGCGTAGAAAAATTTTTTTATTAAAAAATAATTATTTCATTTAACTGAACCAATTGTTATGTGACGTCGTCCCCGGTCGCAGCGCCAACTGTGACGTTCTATCCTGATCTACCACGGCGCCAGTTGTGGTCGTGGCCGTTCTGTGGGTCCTATCCTGATCTACACGGCACCAGTTGTGACGTCCCTAAACAGCACCACCAGACGTCTTCGCCGCGGCGCCAGCTGTTCGCTCCTCGCTGCTCCGTCCGGGTGTCGCTGCTCCAAACGTGACGTCCGCCTGTCGCGTCAGTCGTTGTTCTCGTCCTGTGACGACCAACTGGCTTGGTATCGGTCGCGGCACCCAAATGTGACGTTCTAACCTTTTGGTGATTCGGGTGGGAATCTGGTTAGATTTGATATCAGCCTCGTCGTTCCCAACTCGCTTCCAACGCCTGGTTACCAAAGGTAACTGCACTGATCTCCAGTCTGCCTACCCACGTTGTGAATTGATCTTAGACAGACGAGATCAAACAGGGGTTGGGGCCGTAATGCAAATTGAGTTCAACGGGGGATGATAACACACAAATATGCATAAAAAAAATAAAATGAAAACTCAAAAAGTTCAAAGTATCAAAGAAAAAGGTAACAAACTTTATGTCTAGTTGTTCGATACATAGGACTGCATCTATCTCCCGACCCGTTCTGTGGATTGTGACACGTCGCTTTCGCTAGGCAAGTTTTAACGCTTCAAGTTGTCTGCTCTCTAAGAAATTTGTGTTTCGGTGTGTCTTTGGACGAAAGTCGAAAAAACTTATTTCTGTGGTCTGGTTCTAAGTCGCTCTTCAAAATAATTGTTCTTGGTTGAAGAGGAGTCCGAAATTTTGCGTGAATCTTGGTCAGCTATCTTGGTCTATCATCTCTGCCGAGGCGGCTCAGGGTCGAACTAACTCTGGGGTCTGAACTCAACTCATCTCTGCCGTTCGGGACTCGAACTACTGGAAATCTCTGCCGTCAGGGGCTGAACTATTTCTGCCGTCAGGGCCCGAACCACCCATCTCTGCCGTCCGGGGCTGAACTATTGGACACTCATCTCAGCCGTCAGGGTCTATCTTCCGCCAGGGTCCGAACTAATGGGCACTCATCCCTGCCACTGCCCTGTTGGGGCCTTCGTTTTTATTGACGCCGTCAAAACCGGGTTGGGTCTGTTGGCGTCAGGGGTTCCTCGATAATTCTAAATACATATCCACCTCTTTTTATTTCTGGTTAGGGATTTTCCACTCTTTTCCATTTTTGGTTACTTTTTTTCACTCCCACTTTCTCACCATGCTTCTGAGGGGCGTGAACTGTCCTCCCCACTTCTTCGTAGCAGCTTCTCATACTTATACTCTGGATGGGGGCGTCGACAGCCTTCTTCGTGCGTCACGTGATCACTCTCGGCCAATGAGGTTTTGATCGGGTATCTTTCCTCCTCCTTCGTGCGTCATGTGATCACCACTTGACCAATGACGTCTTAGTCGGGCGTGAACAACCCGCGGCTTTGTTTTGGAAAAAAAATACCTTGCTTAACTAAAAAAATTATCTCTTCTTTTTCCTTTTCTTTCTTTTCAAATCGCCGTTATCATGAAACGGATAATATGACAACTCTTTGTTCAACACGTGGCGTTTGTCAAGCAGTTTATCGCTAATTCATCAGACGGTTGGTTTTTCCGACATGGTCTCAGAAAAGAATTTTCTCCAAAATTTCAGTCAGTCTGTCGTCTCCAAAGCAGAAATAAAAACATTTCTTATTCCATTCATTTTACTTCGGTTCATGTGTTTGATAACAAAATTTTATTATCGCAGGGCAAAAGTTTGTTTTGTCGAAAAGAATTTAACCAGCGAAACTACTTGTGTGGGATTTTAATTTTCCATATCCAGCTAAGGCTCCAAGCTACACCTGTGTTTTGTCAATTATCAAAATCTAACGTTTTCAAGTGGACTTTTCTTTGGCGAACATTTCTTGATAACACAATTCCATTTTTTCGCGGATAAGGGAAATCGGTCAACAAAACGCCGGTGGCCTGTGTTTTGATTTTCTTTTCTCAACCAATAGTTTAGATAACACTCCTACCCACTCAATCTCATTGTCATTGTAATGACACTCTTTTCGCCATTTGATACTTATCAAAATAACCCTTTTTTTCTTATTCCCTCTTAAGCCGTGTGTGTGTGTGTTTATCGCCTATGATCCGTCTTTGCATTACTTTTCTTTTCCTTTTCTTCTTTTCTTTTCTTTTCCAAATCGCCTTTCTGCATGCCTGGATGCATGCTCTTAAAAAAAAAAAATT